GGGGGGGGGGGGGGGGGGGCGGGGGGGGGGGGGGGATTCTAATCAACTGTGTTTCCAGGGAGGGGGGATTCTTATGTGTGGATGAAGACGTTATTTTATGACAATGTGCATAATCCTGTCAAGTCCTTGATGGTGTCAAGGCCTCCTGCTTACAGGCAAGTGACAAAATCTAATCCTAACAGGTCAATCTCGCCACCTATGGCTGAACAGACGGCAGCGAGAATCCAGGGCGCTGTGAAAGTGGAAAGACGCGCCGCCTGGCGCAACATGTCCTACCATCGTCTTCGCATTCTTCCAGAGGCTTCTGTGGTTTCTCCAGACACCGGGGGTCTATCCAGGATGTTGTCTTTGTGTTGTGGCTAAAAACAGCAGAGAGGCAACTCAGACACTCATTGTTCTTGCGGACTGTGAAGCACAGGCTGGAAAAATCCTCTGGGAGATTATCGCGAGCCCAGAGGAAGCACAGGGTAAAGGAATAACATGAAGGCGTGTCGGAAAGTGTGCTGACAAACTGGACAGGTGGGAAAGAAAAAGAGGCAAAGATCAAACACGTCTTTCGGGGACATCGGAGGGGCGACACAGCAAAAGGAATTTGCATCCAGTCTGTAGAAACACCATTTTAATGCTGTACTGTCAGCATTTGTAATCATTAATGATCATTTTCGTGTTTAGTTTGCGTCTCACACTCGTGGCACGTACACGAGACCGAGAAGGAGGGCTGTATGCTGTGTCTGCACTGGCACGTCGATCACATCCAGGGCGCACCGTGTGCTGTGAGGATAAAACGGCCATGCCAACCTGACGGCGGGTCTGAACCACTGAGGACCCAGAAAGTTCTGAACTTGCTTCCACTGCATACTCACATTTACATTCAATTATCTGACACTGACAACAACTTGTTCCGACCCACATTTTTCAGGAAATGGTTATAGAATGAGCATATACAATTCAAATTAATAGGTTAATCTCCCAGAGCGTCCTGAGGGGAGGTGCCCAGGACATGGCGGATTGGGGGGCAGTGTGTACGTACTCTATGAAGTAGACCTCTCCGTTCTCTGTGTAGGCGGCAGCGTGTACGTACTCTATGAAGTAGACCTCTCCGTTCTCTGTGTAGGCCATCTCCCAGTTGTCTGGCAGGGGCCCTAAGAGGTCCTCTTCAGGGAGCCGCAGTTGGCCGTGTGTCTGCCGGGAACCGTCCGTGGCTAGCAGCGGGGCGGTGACACCGTAGGAGGGGGCTCTCTCGCGGGACGGGGGCAGGCGCACGCTGGGCTGCTCGTCCGGTTCACTGGAGTCTCCTGGGAGCGACAAGGGATGAAATGGAGAGCGACCCCCAGCGCAGCGGAAATCCCTCTGGCATGTGGGTGTCCTGGCCCCGCCCCCTTCCTCAGGAATGGTCACTTAGGTGTCCCTCCCTCGGGGCATTCCAGCCTTCCTGCCCCCCCCCCCTCCCCCGAGCCCATAACATGCATTCAACACCTTTGACTCACACCTGGTCGTCTCACATAGAGACAAAGCTGAGGGTCGTGGGGGAGACCAATTCACAACTTCCACATCAAACAAGGACCCTCTAAGTGATCAGTAATCTGAGATCCCTCCTACTATGGCTGCTTCGATATTGTGAAATCGAACAAAATTTAACAAACAATTAAAAGAAATCTAGACGTGCGGACAGTTCACATTCAAAATAAGCAAAGACAGTGATATTCATTCAGAGGACAATACACGTTTATGAAAAGACAATAAAAATCAGCTGCCATTCATGCTGATATTTAGACCTCACAGGAAGAACGCAATCATTGGATGTGAAATATGAGTACGTCATTCAGCAGACATAAATCCCACATGAAAGAAATGCTAAATTTAATGCCCTAAATTTAATTTGTCCTTAAATTTCAGATGTATACTTGACACTGCATAAAAACAACACCCCCCTCATTTTGACTCAGTGTGACATACACAGAAGCCCCCCTCATGGATGAACTCATCTGGTAGGAGGCCACAGTGCTGCTTTGGCTGTGAACAGCGGACAGTGTCATATCTCACATTGGTCACCAGGTGGGGGTGTTTTCATTGTTTCCACACTCTCTCTCTCTCTCTCTACTGTGACGCCGTTACCTGTGAAGCTACTGCTCATGTCAGGGAGCTCGTCAGCATCCTCTTCATTTTCTGGAGACACTATTCCAGCATTTTGCATGTCATTATAGGACTTAGAGCGCCGGGAGGTGGAGAGCGGGGAGCTGGGAAGGCTGTCTTGCAAAGCATCACTGGTAATCACTCTGCCACTGGGGGGCTGGCTTGGCGGCTTGGGAGTTCCATAATAGTTACCTAGGCAACAAGGGGAGATGGGCTTAGTCGAAACGAGAGGTACTGGAAAGCGATGTTTCATAATCAACGCATCTTTGTGCTCAGAAGAGAGATGAAAAGGCGGGGGAGGGGGGGGCAGTATTAAGGAATACTTTTTAGCATATTAGTTAATCAGCGTAATCAGCTTTGCTAAAGGAATGTGTTTTCTCTGAGGACAAGAAAAGAAAGGATCCATTGTATAGGGGCAGGAGATGGAGGAGAGAGCAGCCACAGAGAAAGGCAAACAGAGCAGCTCACAGCAGAATAGATTAGCTTTGCCCTGCTAATGACGTTTTTCTCTCCATTAGCATGTAAAACCGAAAATGTGCAGGACTCAGATCTTCAGGAGGATACGGGGACTGCTGAGAACGAGTCATCAGCACCAGCCTGCCACTCGTAGACTTTACAAGGGATCGGTCATCCTACCGTCTGCTTGCATACATTCGCATGGCTCTTTGAAAGGGGAATTTCCTGCATGAGTGCATTAACAGTGGCGCTCCGCTGATAACTGGTATGCATTTCCATTGAAGTCAGAGTTTAAGTCTGAAATCCTCAGCACAAGCAAGTACTTTGATACATGACTGCCTGTTAACGTCCCGTTATCGGCTGAAATGAGATGCGGGGAACCCTGGAAACGACGCGGCGACAGAGTGGACAAAAGGGGGTGCCAGTCTGTGACATCTGAGACTCAGCCTAGAGCTCCACACAGAGTGTATTTACCTAGGCCCAGCAGTGAGAGGGAAGCGGGGAGAATGTACAGCTTTGTTCAAAGAAAACACTCCCCATTCAGCAGAGTGACCATGGCGCTTCACGCACACCTGTTTACATTTGTATTTTCACAAGAATACCTGCTGAATCTCATCTTAAGGCAAAATGCTCCCTAAACCTATTCCAACACGACCAAACAACAGCAAACCAAAAAAATTAAAAATTAAATTAAATTACGGCAGCTTTTCTGAAAGCATCTGAAGTTTTTATATTACCGGTATATATGTGTTGTGGTTGGTATGGGAGTCCATTTCCTCAATATCTGTCCTCAGAAATAGAATAGAATTCGCATGCAGAGCCATGCACACAGACCTCGCATGCACACAGAACCCGCGTGCACAAAGAACCCGCGTGCACAAAGAACCCGCGTGCACACAGACCTCACATGCACACAGAACCCAGGTGCACACAGAACCCACATGCATAGAGACCATTACATTTGGTGTGCATTCAGAACTGGAAATTGCTTGCAGTGAGGTAGATGAAAAAAATGTGCATATTTGTGTGGTGCAGAGACCATGGCTTGATTTCTCAGCGATGGAGTAACTTATCTGAAGACAGATACTCTTGGGTGTTGCAACCCATCAATATATACCAAGCCCAGGTCTTGCTCAAAATACTGATGCTTGTATTTACAGGTATGTATCTGTAGGTACAGGTATGTATGCTGGGCAGCGGGCTGAATTAACCAATATAAAAAATAAACATTTTCAAAAACAATAAAGAAGTTAGAAGATGCTGTGTAGCTCCTGCTCTGATGCTGCTGACACTGTACTTGCAGCCGGCCGTTCACTGGGAGCTCAGCCTAGCTGACTCCTTGACAGTCGTTATCTGTAATGTGTTACTTGCCCCATTTGTAGGTCGCTTTGGACAAAAGCATCTGCTAAATATGTAAAGTAATGTAATGTAAATTTAAAGAAACGCTCTCTGACCGAAGGTCAAAGTGTCCCTCTGCTGGAAGCCGGCTGGGAATTACGATGGACCAGCTCTCACTCCCAAACAAAGAGAATCAAGGAAATGGGGCTCAGTGGAGATGAGAAACTCAGAACTCCCCTGTTTGTTTAATGTCCACGAAGCAGAATTTCTTTCCCAGATTACCTTCATATGTCCCAATCTCCAGAAGAGTTCCACTCTTTTCAAGTTTCAGGAAGTCCTGCACAGACAAGAAGTTGTAATCCACACCAGGGACCTCTCCGTTCCGCGGGGGGCGGGTTGTACCTGAAGGGCAAATCAGAAGGGAACAAATCAGTCCACTGTGGCAAGGAAAATAAAAGCGGACGCATCCGGCTTGCATCTGCATTTTAATTGGACAGCCCTAATTTTGAAAAGGAACCATTTTTGTTCCCAGACTGAAAAAAAGCCATAAACAGTAGTAACTGAAATCCAAAGGCATTATTAGATGGATTGGTGTCTGTAAACCAAGGTGTCATCCTACCCAGAAATTCCTGGGAAAGGCTGCAGGTGGATGGATGAGATGTCTTGGAAAATGGATGCATAGATATATATTCATTAATTCATTAATTTAACCCAGACAGTATAGGAATCTTCATGTCAGGTACAACATCAGCCAAACATAATCGTAAAAAGTTACGCTTGTAACTTTCTAAACCATGAGCCAGCAAAGCCGTGAGGTTATGAACCTGTGGGCAATAAGTCTGTCTGAAGCTACCGGCTTCCCACCAAAAGTACTTTATAATTTAGTGGAGACGGTTCGAGTTTGCTGAATCACTCAGGGCTCCTCTGAGGAACGACACACTCCAGAGACGGAGGAAAGAGGTTCTTCAGAACTGTGCCGTAAAACACACCAGAAGAGAAAACTTCACATGAACGTTCCAGAAGGCCGCTGAATGTAAATAAGCATTGCGGAAGACAGCAGCTGTGGCTGAAGTGAAGCTGAGCTGCTTTCAGACCAGGACATGCTAAGGTGGACGGTATTCAGGCATCAGACTGTCCACATTTTGTTGTTTCCCAGCTCCTTAGCAACAGTGCGGACTGTCTGCCAGGCAACTTGGAGGGAGCAAAAACCTGGACCCTCCGTGGGTCCCGAGACTGGGTTGGGAAACACTGCTTTAAAATCTTAGTCCTGGCAAGTTCGAAAACAAAACTCCATGTTGCATACAATGTTGTATATGTACAGAAAAGCAGTTGTATATGTACAGAATAATTAGACTGACTTTTCTGATACTGACTGTATGAACGAGGAGCAGCACCTCCAGCCGCCGACATGCAAAAACCAGCAGCGGCTCCCAGCATCTGCCAGCTCATGGCCCAAGTTTGACTCAGTCTGCCCTCTCTTATGGGAGAGGACATTCATCAGGTACAGAGCCCAGATCAGCCCTAATCCACCTACCAACTGACTCTCTAAAAGGGTCTCAAAGGGGGACTGGAACCCATTCCAGGCAGCGCAGGCCACAAGGCAGGGGACACACGGGGCAGGGGACACACGGGGCAGGGGACACACAAGGCAGGGGACACACGGGGCAGGGGACACACGGGGCAGGGGACACACAAGGCAGGGGACACACAAGGCAGGGGACAAACCACAGTAACCCGCTGTGGTTAGGACACAAACCCTTCAGTGCGGAGGTGTGAGGTGCCAGGGCTCCCCGCTGTGGTTAGAGACAGAGGCCCCATGGAACCCCAACAGCAAAGACAGAATAACCAGGGCAATCTCACCGTGGTCATGTGATGTCCAGGCCAGTACAAAGGTCATTCATCTCCTTGCCCGTTGTGACAAATTATTTTTATTTGCAGCCAGTTTCACAAAGTTTTGTGAAGTTTTAGCCGTTCTCTCTGGGGAAGCACACTTATTTTCACACTTTTACATAATGCTATGACATAAATCTGCACAAGTCTTAAAAATTAACATTAAAAACCCAAGTTTAATGCAAGCTCTTCCCAGACTTCCACTGTAAATCATATCAGATATATGATAAAAAAGATGAAGCTAGAAATAGCTGAAACAAGATGCAATACTCTTCATATCATGCTCCAGTGACAAAGACAATCAATCACTGATGAAACAAAATTTCAGACACTCTACAGGATGAGACCTCCTCCGTATGTCATATTGCCAAAGAGAAAGCACATTATTATGGTTTTTGTGTAAAGTTTCACACAGGAAAGCGTGTGATATCAAAAAATGTATACACCACCCTGTAGAACCCAAGGCAAATGAAATAAAACTTTCATACAATATTTTAGCATTAAAAAGTTTGCAAATGTAAGCTAACAGATAACCTCAGTTATACAATGATCCCCCGCTATATCGCGGATTCCCCCCCGACGCATCACAGTTCTCTGCATATTGCGAACCTTGCTTGTGATCCGATTGTTGTGCGCAAACTTTTTGTGAATTATGTCACTCATATCCGTAGCCCGACATCATATGTGTTTACAAAGTGTGTTTTAATAAGTTTACATGTGTTTAAAGCGTGTGGGAGGGGTATTTTAAGGCTTAAACTATATAAAAAAAAAATGTTAATTTATATGGTCTTTCTAAATCGTGGATTTTAACGCTGATGAGTCTGGAACGTAAGTTCCACGATAGACGGGAGATCACCGTACATCTCATTAGAGGAGAAAAACTCTCCCTGTAGCATCGAATCAGTGTGTGGCAGCACTACACCCCAATAGATGATTATGAGTGGTGGGACACAGCGATCACATAGACAGCCTGGTACACAACGTACACCGGCCCATAGAACAGACCTTCTAGGCTGAATAATCCCTCTACCGCAGAATGATCCATCACAGATGGTCCTGCTGTTTATTATCCATTTCTCTGTCCTTCTGAAACAATGGTAATATTATAAAAGATACTGCACATTTAAAACAATAGTCTGGTCATTATCTGAACACGCCATTGGGTAGCTGGAAGACCCAGATCCTGAAGATCCAGAAGATGGAACATTCTGGAGAAACACAGCGTATACTGGCATACAGTCACCATAGAGTCTAGGGGTCACCATCCACTAGATGGCACCTAAAAATGATACTGACGATTATGGCTTTGACCCTGTGAAGTTGCCTGCCGATCCTAAACAGCGGACGCACACCATCCTGTCATTCTGCCTGGTGAGGACGCCTCCCTCAGGATCGACCAGCAGCAGCATGCAGAACTCAGGAAGCTTCTCAGTGTGCCCAGTTTGACTGGCACCAGACGCCCATGAAAGAATGTGACCCAGCACCATAGAAACTGCCCGCTCTTCTTTACATCCCAGAAACATCCACCAGAAAACCATCCAAATATTTTTTCATGCAAACCCCAAAATATCATAAACTGTATATTTTTCATGAAACGTTTCTGAGGGCAGAAATTAAAACAGGACTCTTGAAGGGTTATACCAAATGATCCTCAAATAACTCTCTTTAAACCTTCTTTTAACACAACAAGCACAGAAGCCTTTCCCAAGTTTCAAAAGATAATCTTGTACACATAAAAAAGCAAAATAAAATAACTGATTTCATGCATATAAGTAAAAGTCATTTGTAAACAACAGCTCATCCAGCTACTTTGTTTGGACCTCCAACAGCAGAAGGCTGACCCAAGTCTAGAAAAATGAAAAAACAAAAATACAATTTGCCAAGAAAATATTGCCTTTGTTGCACACAAAAACTGTTTTGTTGTCAGGGGCAACACGATCCCGTAAGGAAAGACACGGGTTCGACACGGGTTCTTTCACAAACAATGGCTGGGCCAGGACTAAACAGGATGCCAGAGTTTGACCGATGTTTCCACATCAAGAGAAATCCTTGAGCCCTTGCCAGACTGAGGGATTGGCCCTCCAATGGGATAATTCATTTTAGGTCACCTCCAAGGCTCACTGAAGTCCATTATGGTGAGGAGACACATTCGGAAATGTCCACCGCATGATGAAGGACCTTGGAATATTAAGCGGACCCTTTGAGTTCTCATTATAACAAACTCCAGAATTCTGGGTTTCTGCTAACATCAGGTTGGCGGTGAAACAGTACTACTGGAAAACTTGCTTGGGGGAAGTAAAAATGAGTGTCGCTGTCAAAACTTTATTTAAGATTTAAGATGAGTGTGTGTGACGTGTGAACCAGAAAAGCAGTGAGACTGACAGAGTCCTGCAGTAAAGGTTCCTCATGTTTGCTCCAGGTAGAATACAGCTTCCCATTCATGAGGGTGACACTAACAGCGGCAAAATCAAAACACTCGGGGGGGGGGGGACGTCAGAGAGAGAACTGGCCCCCTCCCGTGGCATTGAAATGAAAATAGAAAGGCATCTGTGTAATCCTTACCAGAGGAAGATGAAACTATTGTGGATGAAATGCAACCTGGACACAACCTAACCAACTGTTTGCTGTCTAAAGGTCACAACAAAAATGTTCTGGGTCAGTATTTTTAAAATTACTCTTTTCAAAGAAGTCAGGAAAGATGGTTGGTGACATTTCCTGGTGTACTCAGGGTCATGTGAAGGTTTTTTTGGTGACAGCATGAGAGCGTCCGTATGACGTGCCTGTTTTTCGAGACGGCTGAGACTCTTTGCTCTCTCGCTTGTTTATGGTCCCATCATTCATCAGTAATGAATCGGCTCGGCGGCACGGGGGCGGGGGGGGGGGAGGCAGGGTTAGGGTATGATGCCAGGAAGCAGGTCTCACTTCAGGAGGGGAGCGTGTCAGCCACGATACTCACACTGCAGATGAGAGTGGCGCTGACATGACGTTGAATGAATGTACACGCATCGCAGGCATTGCACGAAGTCAGCAAAACACTCGGCGAAAATACCAGAAATTTCCATTCTTCTTAAAGGAAAAATACTGTGATAAATTAGCATAAAATAGGGAAATAAGTGCAGTTTCAGCTTATTTTCCTCTCAAGAGAGACCTAAAAATGGATTGAATCCTTGAAGAACTGTTGTTTTTTTGTTTTTTTTTTGCACACCCATATAAACGCTGCGGCGTTCATAGCAGTGCGTATGATCGCTGAGTGACAGCCATATTATGGCCTATTTCAGACTATTTCAGGACTGCTGAATGAAGTCATCTCTGACAGAAGCTGCCTCTCACTCTTTATCTACAGAGAGGATCTCATGGGGAGGTTCACACTGCTTTCCTAGATCATGGGGTTCGCAAAAAAAAATAAAAATTCCGAACTATCATTTTAGGATTTTCGTCCTCATTTTTAACCCAGTGACTTATTTGTGAGCTCAAACTGAAACGAAATCTCTTCATATTAAAGTATTTCCGGT